AGCAATTGTTCCTTGTGGTCTTTTCAACAGACGCCCCCACAATCTGAGTGTACAGGCTTATATTTGTTTATAAAATTGATTGTTTATTAAAAAGCTTCATAGCCTCCACTGCAGTAGGTATTAATTACAGCCTATTGCACATAAGCTTGTCCTTCAAAATTTCTTAACTTTATCTTTAGATGCAACATAAAGGCATTATGAAGGCTAATTGTAGGCTAGCACCAGTGGATATAGTGCTAGTAGAAGTACTCGCAGCAGTTCCAAGTAGACTTTTTTTCAGCAAAGAAGTCTCCCGCATTTTAAATTGAACAATTATTATTCTATTGCATATGAACTACTATCCCTAGATGAATTATCTAATCATAAGGAAGAAAATTAAAGATTGAGTACTTCATTGCATAGCATACACTACTGCAGGGGTTGGCAACCTTTCAGAAGTGGTGTGCTGAATCTTCATTTACTCACTCTAATTTATGGTTTCGCGTGTCAGTAATACATTTTAACCTTTTTAGAAGGTCTCTTTCTATACATCTATAATATACACCTCTACCTCGATATAACGCTGTCCTCGGGAGACAAAAAAAATCTTACCACGTTATAGGTGAAACCACGTTATACTGAACTTGCTTTGATCCACCAGAGTGCGCAGCCCCGCCCCCCAGAGCACTACTTTACCGTGTTATATCCGAATTTGTGTTATATCGGGTGGCGTTATATCGAGGTAGCGGTGTATTACTAAACTATCATTGTATGTAAAATAAATAAGGTTTCAAAATGTTTAAGAAGCTTCATTTAAAATTAAATTAAAATGCAGAGCCCCCGGGACCGGTGGCCAGGACCTGGGCAGTGTGAGTGCCACTGAAAATCAGCTCATGTGCTGCCTTCGGCACATGTGCCATAGGTTGCCTACCCATGCACTACTGTATCTGGGAAAACATGACTAACACTATAACTGCTTAGGCATGAGGGCTTGTCTACAGTACCCGCTGGATTGATGGGCAGCGATTGATCCAGCGGGAGTCGATTTATCACGTCTAGTCTAGACGCGATAAATTGACTGCCAAGTGCTCTCCTGTCAACTCCGGTACTCCACCAGGGCGAGAGGCGCAGGCGGAGTCGACGGGAGAGCGTTAAGGTTGCCAAGTCAGGCACTCAAAAATTAGGAAATGTCAGAATTTAGATTGCCTGGGCAACCTTAACTTGCCTCCTTTGTGCATATCCATTATTACACAGTCTTTAATTGCATGATCACATACTATTTTTTCCCTCAGGACCTCTGCTCATTCACTGCAAAGAAGGCCCTGCTCCGGAGAGGAACCTGGGTTGTAAAGTGAAAGAGGCTGTAGTCTCCAGGGCAACTTTCACCTGTCTTAACCATGAGACCATGCTATTCTTTCTGTAGTCCTCAGCAAGTTTGTGTGTAGATAAAGCCCAAATGGAGAATTTCATGTCCTCAAAGGTCTTTCTTTCTCCCCTTTTGAAGTCTGAATAGTTGCCTCTCTGAAAATGTAGTTCTACCTTATCCTTTCTTGATTCCTCAAGACAGAAGGACATCAGGGACAAAACATACAGTGAGGTTATACATACAGTCTAGACAACAAACTCAAACGAGATCTTAAAGTAACTGAAGAAAATTTTGAAGTTATAGAAGCCTGTATACAAAGATGGCTGCCTAAAGGGGGTTTTAAACTATTAACCTTGAAAAAGAAATTGTCTCTGCTTGTTGCCTAGCAAAGTTCTGTCCTCCCAAACACGAAACAAAAATGTATTACTCATGAATGGTGAGGTATAAAGGCTTTACCAGATGAGTTTGGGATATTAGTGTTACTCACAGGTGAGTGATGCTGGCCACCCCACACAAGTGCTATTAAAACACTTATCCCACAGCATGCCATCATGTACTCTGTATGTCACATTACAGAAAAACTACTATAGGAATATTTTAGAGTTTTAAAAAAAAGTTAGTGCTTTATTTCTTAAACCCTATACCTTTAATACTAGTTGCCTTAGTTATAATGAATCCAGCTATATAGAACAGAGAGGAAGCCATTATAAACCTCTAAAAATGACCAAAAATAGTTTTTCTATGCATAAAAAGTCACAATTTTCATATCTGGTGTTTTGGGACCTCCCAGGGTTAGACGTGAACGTTGTACCCCAGTGGGAATCTGGAAAACCACCTTTTCCAGTTATACAAAGTTCTTGTCTCTAGCCTTACAGGAGCTTGAGATGTCCGACTTTAAAGTTATATCTATTTTAGGTCTAGAAAACCCATTCATTTTGGGCAGGTATAATTTGGGGGAAAATATTCAACATTTGGGGAATAGGTATCCAGAAGTCATTTGTATGAAGTGGTAATCAGCCATCTGTTCACAAACAATCACAGATTACCCTGGATACAAGGTTCCTTTTATGGCTAGGAAAATCTGGCATCATGCCCTTTGTTTGCAGGCTGGTGAGTTATCACATAAATTCAGCCCATGTACTTTCTGCCTCTCCTGTACTGGTTATACCAGTTTTATATTGTAGGAGAAACCAGAAAATGACTGCTTGGGTTTGTAGCTCATCTCACTGTGCTGCTATATATACTATGACCCTATCCATTGGCTCACTGGAAAAATCTTTCCTCAGGAGAACTTTAAGGCCACCAGTAAATATTTCACCTATCTGCCTTCCAAGTTCAAAGACACATCAGAAGAAATGACTCAGGCTGAAAAATTAAATGAAGCACTTCCATAGATGTCAGCTATGAATAATTCTCTTTTGTAAAGAGACTACAGATCTTTTTCTTGGGTCTTTAAAACAGATTCTGTCCATGCCAGGGCTGCCCTCAAGCATCAATTGGCTGTAGCGGTACCACTGAAGTTCCTGCTTAGTGAAGAATCCACTCACTTCTAAATAGGATCTTTGGGTATAAAACTGTCCTATGTGGGAATGATCCTATTTCACTATGGAAGAAAGAACTACATCTGCCTTAAAGCTAACCAGATAATATTTGTTTTGCTTTACATTATAAAAATATGTTGCCTGCCTACTCAAGCACTTAGATTTTGTGGGAAATTCCCATTTAGATCGGGTTGAATTCTCCAGTATCGAGTAGAGAGGAGTGTCTGGACCTAGTTTTGACCCAAAGAGAAAATATTTTCTTGTTTTCGTCTCTTGCTCTGGGGACTGAAAGCACTATGTAAGCATTGTCTCAAAACAGCCTAGAGCAAATAGCTCATCTTGCATCTGCCTCCCTCAGGCTCCCATTCAGAAAGCTGTCTTTCCGACAAAGAGGACTTAAGACTCACATTGCTTACTGTATTTGGCAAGCTCTCTTTTTTTCTCTCAAAGCTACTGTGCCCGGAATTATTAGGTACAGAAGACTCCAAAGAGCATAAGGGTTTTCTCCTTTTGTATGTTGTCTTTCAAGAGACTAGTGCCATTTAAAGGTCATGTTGTGATATGATTGACAGATCTGATTCTGCCACCAAGGTTGCAAGCAACAGTTGAAACCCTGTGTAGAACATACTGATCTTGCTGAAGAAGAAACTCAACTTCATTTTCAGATTTCTGCATAATTGGAAGACCTAAAAATAGCTTATGATAAACAGATTTGACCTAGAAATCAATAAGACACAAACATGGGACTCCACAATGCCATTTTTGTCACTTTTCAAACACCTCCAAAGCCGAATAATTTGATGGTAGTTAGGACTAAGCTCACTATCAAGTTAAGGCATCCATAGGACCCCCTGATCAAATTCAGTGGCAGCCACTGATGTCAATAGCAGTTCAAACCAACTGTGTGATATTGACTACACTGTCACAGTATCAGTGTTTAATAAATCATTTATGTAAAACAATCTACTTTAAGTATTTATAGCAAGTCAGTCAACACAGTACTGAGGTGGTGAAGCACAGTGGGATAAGAAGGGCAGGATTCCAGAACCACAATGGGTGCCTTCTTGTGTAACTTCCCCCAAAACAGATTGTGAGAACACAACCAAGGATCTTCAGCAACAACAGTCCAAATCTCTACTATCTGAGCTGAAAGAGAAACAGCAATAGCATGCTCTTATCTGTTATGTCGAACAGCCACTAGCAGGAAACACGACACCTTGAGCCAAACTGAAACATCTGCCTAAAAAGCATTCTGAAGGTGGAAAAGGGGTTTTTGCTAATTTATATTGTACAAAAAAAGGCCTGATATGTTTGTTTCAAAAATGTTTTGCTTCTTGTTAACTTAGAAATATCAGGAATGTCAAGCCTGATTTTGCTTGGATGTCTCCTTGGAGGATGCAGAGATGTGGAATAGGAGCTTTTACAGTCCTTAACTGAAGAGGCAGGATACTGGATCTTTGACAAAAGTGTTTTTTCTTAAGAATTTCTTAGGCACTTGAGTTGAATAAAAACACTATTAAAACCAATAAAAAATTAAACAGTTTGAGAGAAATCACTTGTATATCAGTTAATCAGATTGTACTTGCTTGTTACCGGTAATGCAATGGGTCTTCCAAGAAAAACACAGTAGGTGAGACCTGAATTTGTGAAGTAAAGCATAAGCAGAAATTTTTTTTTAAAAAACAACAAAAACTTGCAAGCCTGCTGTATACATCACGAAGAACCAAAAGCAGGAGTTTTAGCCCACCTCTAACATAAAAACAAATTATATTCAAGTGATGACTAACTAGCCAGCTGATGAGTGTATTTCCAATTTAGGATGAAGCATGGTAAGACAAAGTTATCACTCCATTTGCGTATATGAATACTATAAATAATTCTATGATAAATAATTCCCAAGACTATAACAGGGCTCCAAAAAAAAAACAAAAAAACCTAGGTAAGTTCATGGAGGATATAGATCCATCAATGGCTATTAGCCAGGAGGGGCAGGGATGGTGTCCCTAACCTCTGTTTGCCAGAAACTGGGAATGGGTGACAGGGGAGAGATCACTTGATGATTATCTGTTCTGTTCATTCCCTCTGGGACACCTGGCATTGACCACTGTCAGAAGATGGGTTAGATGGACCTTTGGTATGACCCAACATGGCCGTTCTTAAGTGGTTTTCTACAGCTCTTCACAATGGGACTTCAAAATGTAATTTTATTATTATTACAGCTTTTACCAGAGTTTGTTTCATAAAGAAATATATTAGTAATCACTTATAGTAAATTTAATAAATTAGATATTTTACAAAGTTGAGAACCAAAACTTTAAAAAAATGTTTTAAATGTGTCAGATTAGAGAAACCCTGAAATAAACAGCAACAAATATGGAAAAATATGAAGAGAAAATTATATTAAAAAGTAACTTTGTTTTTCATTTAACATTTTAAATGTAGTTTGTACACTAATGCTACAAGATGTGAGCACAATGTTCTCTCTTTAAGGAGGAAGGATGGTTTTGTGGGTAAAGCTTATGACTAGCTGTCATAAGAACTGGGTTCTATTCCTGGCTCTCCCAAAGCCTTTATGTGACATTGAGCAGTCACTTAACCTCTTTGTACCCAAGTTTCCACATCTGTAAGGTGAAGATATTATTATCTCAGAAGAATGATGTAAGACTAAATTACAATTTGGGAAGTGTGCTAAGAGCCTCATTTGGAAGATGGTATAAATGTAAAGTATATTATTTGGTTGCATGGAAAAGGAGAAATGGCCCAAGGTTTGAATACAGAATTAGTAACCGGAAACATCATCCAAAGTCTTCCACAGACTTATGACATCCGGAGAAGTCACTCAAATTTCTCTATCCCCATTTCTCATCTGAAAACAGAAATATTTCTCTGCCTCATAGGACTGAGGTGTTAGCTTACATTTTCAAAGCTTTCTTATCACAGTTTCCCTCCCCCTTTCCTTTTATAAAGAAATTAACCTATTTGAGCAACCCACAACCACATGCACACTTAAAAATGTGGTATTAGTAATTTCCTAGCTTGTATACGTTACCATGTCCATTTATTTATATAATTAAATCAGCTGACCATTTGATTCTTGTGTATAAGCAAGCGAAAAACACCCAAACATTATGGAAAAAGCAAAAGGCACAATAATTTAATGTAGACTGAGGAGATTAAAACATCACATACAATTAACTACAGTAAATGTTGCATTTATGAGAGTGTTTCTTTTCATTCCTGGGAAATACTTTACCTTGATCAAACACTACAAATTGTAATGGCAAGCAAATCCTCCTCTTTGCAGCACACCTTGGCACCAGCAAAACCAGGGAGGTTTAAAAAAAAAATCTATCACGCTATAGGATTATGATGTGTGTTATTTTACTAGTCCTGCTGTTGCTGCCTAGGACTTTCATCCCTTCAAACTAATCCAGTGCAGCAGCAGGGATTTTGCAGCATTACGGAGGGGGGAGGGGGAGAAGGGGAGTGACCTTAGAATACCTTGGAGACATACTGAGTAAGTTTTATATAAACCAGACACACTGTCCTGAGGTGACACTCACTGAAAAGCTAAGCAGGCTCCCAATAACTAGATGGAAAGCAAGAGGTCCCTTTAGACCATAGGATAATTTAGGTAAATTCTATTTCTTACTGCAGTTTCCTAACCCAGTCCAGGCACGTTAATCTTCATTCTCCCCTCAAAATGCCTCTCCCTCCCCACTTTTGTAGCCTCCCAGGAAAGTCCCATTTCTCCACCCAGTAGCATATGGCTACTGTCAGCCATAGCCCACCAAGGAAAGGTGGGCGGGACCTGCCTCGCCCTTCTTTTCCTCCCATCTCCACTAACGATATCCCCCCCGCCCGCCTCTTAACCAAACATGCTCCCCACCCGTTTCCTCCTCCCTTCCAAGCTCTCCCAATTAAAAGGTATTTTGGAGTCTTCCCTCTGCTCCACCCCGGCTTTCCAATCACAGGCGCTTTACCGCAGCCGTTCAGCAGCGGGTCCCTGGCACCACTGCAATCTCCCAGTAAAAGCTGCCCGTCACCTTCTCCCCACAGCCTCCCACTAAGAAGGGTCCTGTTTCCCCCACCCTGTGTCGCCCTTTCCCCCGCACGCTCTCCGGGTAGTGCAGCTTCCCTCGCCATAAACAGGACCCCGCTCCCGCCACTGGAGCCCCCCCAGTGCGAGGCCCGGGCACCCTTCCCCCGCAGCAGCCCGAGCTCCGCTCCGCCAACTCCCGCGCCAGCCAACGTTCCACGGCTCGCGCTCCAGCCTCTTTCGAACCCCGTCCGCCGAGAGGGGAGAGAAGAAGGGAGAGAGGTGCCTTGCGCACAATCTCCGCCCCTTCGCCCCCAAGGGAACCAATCAAACCGCCCTGGCGTCCAAGGAGAGGGGCGGGGCGGAGCGGCTGATAGAACTCGACGGCAGCGTCACGTTCCAGCCGCGCGGGGCAGGCTGGGAATTGTAGTTTCTCCTTTCCCAGCCGTAGCCATTTTGTGGTGAAGGGAACTACAACTTTTCCAGAGCCTAAGGATCATTCCAAGGGGGCACGCGGAGTCCCCGCGGCGCGTTGGCCAGTGAGGCCCAGTGCTGATAGCCCGGCGGGGCCCGGCGCGTGGGATGTGACGGGACGAGCGAGTCGCGGGGCAGGAGAATAATTCAAGAGCTTTGCAGACAGGGCAGGGGGAGGGGGGCGAGTGAGCGCGCTAGGGATCATCGCCCAATTCCCCGCTCCGCTGCCTCGCAGGGGCCGCCGGCCGCGGCTCGCCAGAGGCCAGGTTTGAATGCGAAAGGGAGGCCGAGGTCTCTGACGTTTGCCCTGCACGAGGCGCTCTGCAGGGCCGGCTGCGGCTGCTGAATGCAACTCGGTGGGGGCTTGCGGCCGGGGACCCGGGTGCGAATTGAGGCCAAGCCCTAACCGAGAGATTAAAAAAAAATCAGGTCCATTTAAAGTTGCTGCCGGAGCGCGGCTCTCATTGGTTAGGGGAGAGCTGGAGGAGCAGGGACACACACAGTGCGTGCAGCCTTCACTGCTGCTGCGCTGCTGCTAGAGAAGCTGCTGCTGCTGCTGGAGTTGTCTCTGCTGCTTTCCCTTGCTGCAGCAGCAGCACAAACGTGACTTCCAACATTTTTATTTATCTTCTCCTTTCAATCCTTTTCCTTTTGCAAGATGTAACTACAGCTCAGACACTAAGGACGTACAGATCGCTTAAGCGGCTTGGGAAAGAGAAAAGGGGATATCAAGGGCGTCGTTTTTTGTGTTGGGGAGAACATTTCCATTATGAATGTTTCTCTAAAGTGATTTTTTTTGTTTGCTTCGCATTCGTTTTTTTCCCCCCATTCCCCATATCTCGGATTTATTGCAAAGAAAATCCCGTTGTGAGGCAAGAAAGTCGGATTACAAGATACTACTACAAACAAAAACTGGATATTTGAGGGGCATTTTAGCAAAAAATTGTTGCGGCTTTACTTCATGAAGCAATTGTCCCCTTTTGCAAACAGAATTTGGATACCAGAATGAGTAAAGAAAGACCCAAGAGGAATATAATTCAAAAGAAATACGTAAGTGGTTATAACATATATCATTTGACTCCCAGTTTTAGGAAATGGCTGTGAATGTCAAGTTTATAGCTAACCCTGAAGCTATAAAGGTTTGAAACAAATGTCTAGTAATGCTGATCTTTATTCTCCTTAGGTGTGGGGGAGTTTCAGAAACCCCTTTAAATTGCAAAACCTTCTGCTCAGTTTTGTTATAAAGCCAGATTTGTGTAGCGATACCTCAAGTGAATAAATGTATTGACCTCAAATGACACAATCATAATCTAGTTTTAGATGAAAGGCAGGGAGCTCAAGGGGGGCTGCTGCGACAATGTTACTAAACTGCTTTTTCATTTGGTATATTAATAATGCACTTTACATGCAAAATAACATATTTTGTATGTATGTAGAGTCCTGTTTAGTGAAGACACTATGGTTATAGAAAGCCCTTTAAGTTGAAATCGAATGGCTGGTTATGGCGAGCTTGTTTCTTGCACTACCACATCAAATGTAATATATGTGATCGTTTGCTTATCTGGCAAGCAATAGAAACCAAACCAGTTGGGGATCATGTTACAGGGAATGCGTTTGTTAGGATTGACTTTAATAATGGGGAAATGGCTTGGTTTAGTTTAAAAATGCATGATGGTGTCTCGAAATACTAGAAGAATATGGTATAGTTCAGGCTGTACACCTATCTCTGTTCTTACACAACTGCTTAACCAGACGCTTGAAATAGTCTAACCCTTTAAACATATAAATTTGCAGGGATAGTTGGGTTTTGGTCCTGCTTCAGCTACGTTTTGATTGGCATAAGGCGAGTCTTTAAGTTTGGAAAAACAGAGGGGATTCGTCAGATATGCATCAGAACTAATAATTTTATCTGCATGTTACAAATAAAATATGTCATATTCAGAAAATGATTGCTTCAAGATATTAGATGCAACCCCCCACTTTTTTCCCCAAGTTGTAGAATATACTGTATTATCATTTCTGGCTTTTTTCCCGTGGGGATGTATTTCTTTGGGGGTCTGACCTTCGGGACCCTTTTGCCTTGTTTTTAAATATTTAATAAAAGGTAAATTGATTTAAGATGCCTATTTCTATCCATGTTTGTCTCTTCTCTTTAAAATATAATTTAGAGAAGCGAGGGGTTAGGAAAAAATTAAAAACTTAAAGGTATTCTGCACCGAATTTACGAATTAAAAATACATCCGCATTGCAGAGGAATTGGGAGTGTGAAGCGGACTAGTTTAAAGTATTGCATCGAAACAGGAACATTGTCTAGAAAGTCTAACGAAACATGTAAGACGTGCACGTTTCCCAGACAGTGAAACAAAGCAGAATGGGAGAAGAATTTGTAGTGTTTAATTAAAATAAAATAACATATATTTTAAAGCCACACCACGTCTGTACGAGTGAACAATAGAATCTTCCTCTGGTTTTGCCTATAGTGCTTGTTAAAGAATTAATAAAACTACTGTCACCCCCCCCACTCTTGCCCCAGAGGCAAGATATGAGAGAGACATGTGAGCATGGTAGGGAGACAATGTATCCAATGTTCACAAGTTTCCCTGTGGAATGGAGGGAAATCGCTTTTGGGGAGGGGGGCAAGGGAGTGCAGATTACTGTGTTCGTGTGTGTGTCGAGGGGAATGTGTGGGTTGCTGCACTATTGCAGTGAGTAGCAGGCACAGACGCAAGCATGGCTGCTGCTTCTGCTTTGGGCTGGCCTGGTCGATTTCCCATGCATCCTCTCGAGCAGCGGCAACAGGTTAAAGCGGAATGTCAGTACAAGACCCCGGGTTCCCGGCCACTCAGCCCAGTCAGTGCCAGGTTCTTCTTGTTGTTCTGTGACGTCACAAAGGGAAGGGCCTGGACTCGGTGGAATCTTCGTCTCATCAATGTTCTGATTTCCCCCTCCCCCTCCTCTGTGACGTCAAACGTGAGGCGGGCCGCTTGGGCTGGAGAAGAGGGGGAGTCACGAGGGCACTGGCTGCTGCTACTGGGGAGGCTGTATTTCTGGCACCCAGCACTGTTCTCTGCTCTTACCAGGTGAGCAGGTGTAGCAAGCATTGCATACACAGCAACTTCTGTCAACCTCTGTCTCCCTTTCCCCCTTCCTATTAAGTGGAGTCTGAACCTGTTTAATTTGGTTCAGGGCAGGGAGCTAATCTACCTCATCTTTGGGTAGGAGGCACACTTCCCTGATGCCCTTTAAGAAGAAAGGGTTAGTCATTCTATTTTTCCTGCGTGGTATAACTTGATATGGTAAGGTAGAGGCACTCCTGTGTGGGTTGGTGGCACAGGGGGTGAAGTTGTACCAACAGAGCACAGCACCTTTCTTTTTTCTGAAACCTCTTTAAGTATTGCAGTGTCACAGTAGAACATCCTGGGTAGCATCTTTCCTTTAATACACACACACATGTGCACCCACTCAAGTCTTTTGTCTGCATGTTTCAGTCCCAGGCATGATCACTCACACCCCAGGTTTCAACCACAGCTGTCAGAAAGGGCCTCCAGTTCCCAGCCTCTTGTAAAGACTTTATTTAAAAATATAAAAAAGGTAGTTTTGCCTTTGATAGTGTGCACACTAGCTTTTTTCCATTTAGCTAATTTCACACAGCTTGTCCACTTGAACTCTTTCCCTCAGAGGGACACAGTTATATTTCATGCAAAATCTTTCAAGCACTTCACAAAAATTGTAAGTCTGATCCATATTCCAATTGCTTTGGAGGTTTTGCTATTTTAAGGGAAACTGGAAAATGTGTGTTTTACAGCTCATAGTTATTAAAAAAAATAATCAACCACTATGTATTTTACTGTGCTAAGCAATCTCCTGATCTCTGTCTATGGAAGAGCTGGCTTGTAAGGGATTATGTGGCATTCCTGTAGTGGAGTATAACAATGGTCCTCCTAGTGTCATAAATTGCCTATATTGCTGGCTAATTATGATGCTTTACTGCAAGGATGGATTTGAAGTAAGATATGATGTTCCTACCCTGGTCGGTGACACAAGGAGACAGGTCAACTAATTGTCCAGTCACCTCTTTTCCCCCCCCCCTTAAAAAAAGTACTGTTTTGTAGGCTACTTAGCTCTGGTCTTCAGATAACCACAGACTGCCACAATGCAACCAGAGCTTTTTGCTGAATGCTTGCTGAAAAGTAATTGTCTAAAATGTACCCTAAAACAAAAAGACTCTGAGAACAATAGAATATAGCACAGTGTTACGACTGTTGCCTTGAGGCTTAACTTGCTGTTACGCAAATAATCATCATACATCAAAGGTTTAAATAAACTTTTGGTTATTACCATGAGAGTTGTTAATCCAAGAAAAAGGAAACGTGTGTGTCTTCTTTTTAAAATGTTTTCACTGAACTTTTAAAAACCATGGCTGATAGATTTGTATGAATCTTCTCTCTTCACCCCCCTCCTCCTCAAACATCTCTAAATATTAAATATTTCTTTTTGGCTCAAACCTCAGACAACTGACAGCATTGTAAAGCATCGGCTGTGAAGCCAGACTTTTTCAGTGTGCACTTGGAATTAATAGTTCTTAAATCAAAAGCTTTGACGTCTTAAATATAATTTCATAAGTGCATTTTTCTATCCCTTTTTGTGATGTCTTATAGCAAATCCAGTGGTCATTGTGGTTTACTTTTTGAAGTAACAGACCTTTATTACTGTAACGAAATACCTGTGTAGTTCTGCTATGGTAACAGATGGTGAAATATAATTAAGTAGTAATGACACCACTGTCTCCTTGTGTGATTTGTTTCTCTGTCCTTGCAGGGGTAAAAGTGCGGTAGCTAGCCTTAAGGTGACACACTCCACATAAGGACAG